GGGGCCGCCACCGGGGAAGCAAAAGCGAGAACAATAAATAGCCTCACTCCCACTCAAACAAAATGCTGTCCCAGAGCCAACCGCGCCAGAGGGTGTAGGTGTCGACCACGAAGCGGAAGGAGTTGTTGCGAGCCCACCACGAACGTGACGTTCGCCGGTGACGGAGCGATTAGCGCATGCTTGTAGGCTCGCCGCCAATGCAGAAACCCGTCGTCATGCGGTCCAGCGCACCAATCTGGAACACCAACGTCCGCCCCGCCGCCAGCGCCCACTCGAGTTGCCACAGTGACACCTCGTTCACCCCCGCCGTTACCGCGACCTCGTCCACCACGAGCCTCGTCGTCACTGCCGTGAGCGACCCGCCGTTGCCCCACGCCTCCAGACCGTACGTGCCGGCTCGCGCGTGCTGGAACTCGAACGCGCCGTTGGAGTCAGCGTATGTCGTGTAGTATAATCCACGTCCCTGGTCCAAGCTTGTCTCGTTTGCGTTCGCATCGCCCAGGAACACGGCTGCCCCCGCCGCTGGTCGGCCGTCTGACAACACAATGCTGCCCGTCACGTGCACCACCAGCTCCTGGTATGCTGTGTCCGTCACAAACTCGTACGGCCAGGCAGCCTCCTCCTGCGCCGCGCGCTGTAACGCGCCCGTCACCGACCCGTTATGGAGATACCACATCCAGGGCGCCAGGATCTTCCCGGCCGGCAGCACGTTGGAGGACGACGCCTAGAAGTGCGTAACGTGCACCCCATTCAACTGCACCGTGTCACCCAACGCGGATTCGCGTGGACCTAAAGCGGGACGAGTCAATGATATTTAGGAATCGTGGGCTTAAGAGGAGCAGAATAGGGGCAGAGGAGTAATGGGAAAGGAAGGGGCATACCATGAGCTCTTGCTTAAGGTGATTGCCATTCAAGTGGTCTCGTCCTGCCCGAATGTACCAGCTACCAAACTCGCTCCCATAGACACCGTAGAAAGCAAGATCCTTGTTGAACGAGCTCCAGTCGTACTTTGTGATGTACGACCCGTCAGCCGTTAGCCACGTCTCGTCCTGCACCTTGGTCCCGGCCAGGATGGACGAGTAGAGCGGCAGTGCCTCGTCCTTAATTGCCGTGTGGCCGTTTACGCAGGTGGCGTTGTACAGCCGCACCAGAGATCGGAAAATGCCCAAGACGGGGAGGGTGCTGTTGATAAAGTACTGGTATGCGCCTGGGAGGCCGTCAAACAGGACCCAGTGGAACTCGCCGTTGGACGTGTTGAAGCGCACGTCAATGAAGTCATCGCCCGACGCGAAGACATCTGCGGCCTGGTTATCGAGCTCTAACTCGCCTCCGGAATCTTGTTGAATTGATGACGGGAAAATGCCAGCCATCTGTCTTTTGTGCTCGAAAGGCGAGGAAGGAGGGGGGGAGTGGCGGCGGCCTGGAGTGGGGACGAGGATGAGCGGTGGCTTCTCAACTGAATCCTGCATAATGTCCGACGGCTTCCCCTACAATTTCCTTGTTATTGAAGTAGATGGGCTTGCCGTAGGTCGGGCCAATGGTGGCGTTCCACAGGTCGTTGCCAAGCACCCAGGATGTCGATGAAATCTGCGTCAGGAACGGCTGCGCGGCGTGGCAGGCGACTGCGCCAGCAAGTACCAGTGAAAGTGAAATAAGCCTTGGATTGCGCATGGTGGGCGGGTGGAGGAGAGGAGAGGGTGGAGGATCCGAGGTCAGGTGGCGTATAAGAGCGAGGAGCACAGAATTTCTAAGAGACGACAAAGATGGAAGAGGCGTGAAAGATCATCCTCACCTAAGTGGGGTAGAAGGGGTTTTAAGATGCGGCAGGGGAACGCCTACGACGGCGGTGAACGCCTACGACGGCGGTGAAACTCGCCACCGCAAGGCGACGACGGCGTGGAGGACTCGTCAGAACGACGATGGCGTGCTGCTGTGTGCCGTCGCTGTGTTCAAACCATCCTGTCAAATGCATGTCGCAAGCATGGCGCAATTGGTGTGACAAACTCTTTAACCTGAAGAGGCGAGAGGTGAGTGTGATCGGCACAGAGAGACAGAGAGAGAGAGAGTATGTGTTGGGAGGTGATACCTGGATGTCGGTAGCCAGTCACCTTGTTAGCCGAAACACGACTCTCACTCGTCTGAACCAAAAGCCATTGGTTTGTTTGATCAGATACAACCCGATCTTAACGGAGGCATCTTTGGCGCCGCTTCGATCTTACTCATACCCAAAGGGGTAATCCTTCAGGCACTTATGGCTAGTGTAAATGGCTAGACACATGATACAAGTCAGTCATAACACAGGGACTTGGGGCTCCTTCCTGAAAAACCTACCAACCTTCTTACAGCTCACTCAATAAAAGCTAGAATTGTTAGGTGAATAATAAAGCAATCTGGAGACTGTACAAACCGCCTGTCAATGATCGATGGAGTCAAACTTCGTCGATTCTGACTCAATGGATCATAAATCATAACAAAGTCGTTGTACGGAAACTTGCGGTGTTAATAGATCTTTGTGGATCACACTTGGGTGGGTCAACGCTAAATGCGTTGCGTGCCCGTTGCCCTTTCTGAAATACTGATTATGGAAAACCGGATTGCCAGACGCTGCTCGTGGGTTACGGGCGGCCAAGAGTCCCGAAGAAAAAAACTCTGGAGATGTAGTTTAATGGTAAAATGGCATCTTGTCAAGATGTACGATGTGGGTTCGAGTCCCATCATCTTCAAATGAACGGGTGGATAGTGCCCTTTCGTGTAGATCAACAACAGAGTAGCCGGATTTTAACCAGTTGGGAATTGTTTAAAGCTCCACGAAGATCAAGAGCAACCGAATGTAAACATATCGGTAACCAAAACGAAACTAATTTCAATGCTTAAAGGCTTGGAAAAATACCGGTAAATGTCGGTTATCGGTGAAGTCGTAGCAGTAGCTAGTATTGCAGGAGAAGGAGAGGTGGAGAGGGCTTAAAATCGAGGCGGGCCGCATAAAGCCACACTTGGCTGAACTGTACACATCACCTTTTCCGAATGTCGGCCAAATCCAATTACAAAACAAGTGAAGGTCAGACAAACCCGAAAGCAATAAGGCGAGGA